GGATTGAACCGCCGTCCCTGTGCTTTGCCAGGCTTGTTTCAAGTAGGTGCTTTAGACCACTGAGCCATCTCTCCAGCCCCTTGAGATTCATTCTTGCACTTGTGTGTTTTGTTCATTTTCCTTTCATATTGCTGAATTATAGTCTGTGGTGTGGATATGCCAAGTTTTAGAAAAATGGGACTTTTCCCCCAAAGTGATAATAGTGATTATTTTATACTCTGCCAGCAGTCCAGAATTCCACTTCCTTCAGACTTCTATTGTCAGTGTCTTCAATTTTTATACTCTTTTAAGATAAGTTATAGGGTCTCAGGCAGCTTCAGATTGCCTTTCCCTAATGACTAATGGTTTTATTTATTTATTGTTTTTAAATTTTATTTATTTATGTGTGTGTGTGTGTGTGGCCAGCTCAGCCCACCAGGGGGCGCGGCTGGCTGGCATGTGGTGCTGGGGGATTGAACCGCCGTCCCTGTGCTTTGCCAAGCTTGTTCCAAGTAGGTGCCTTAGACCACTGAGCCATCTCACCAGCCCATGACTAATGGTTTTAGTGCCTTTTCTTGTATTTATTTGCTGAATGTTTTCTCTGATGATGAATTTGCCTCCTCTAGAATTCGTATGACATTTTATTGTCCAAGCACTAGTGTTATGGGGGAAATATACCTCCCAACGTGCTAGATGTCAGATATGCTGGGTTTATCTTACCTGAAATGAATAATGAATTCTGAGGAACAGTAGAGGTTAAGAGTAGGGAAAATTTGTTGAGCGAGCTCCTGAGAGATAAGAGGGGACCCAAAAGTGCATTGCCATGGACTCCTCTTCTCGAAGATTTTATAGAGCAAAATCATGAGGTGGGTACAACGTGGATCAAAACTATGATCGACCAGTCAGATTATGATTATAGCCACTTAGGTAATATGGATCTAGTGGGGAGGCAGGTTTCATAGCAAGTATAGTGGTTTATGTCTAGGTGTCCCCTCAGAGCCTCCTGCAGTCGTTGGGGTGGGCTTCTAGAGTTCGTGATTAATTCATGACCCATTGCTGAGATGATGGATGTGGGTGCTGCAGGCCCCCTGGGGTGTGTACCATGAATGTAGTACAACAGGGAGAGAGGCTTGCTCTCTGCCCCTGCTACCGCTGCTCCTCCCTTTTCTGCTCTTTGTTTTCCACCGCCATGAACTGCTGTGTGCTGCTGTGCCTGGGAGCCGGCCAAGTGTGGGCTGAAACCTGCACAAACTGAGCTAAATAAACCTTTCCTTCCTTGATTTGGGCGTCAGGTGTCTTGTCCCATTGACGAGAGAAAAGGAACTGAGGCAGCAAAGGTGCATGGAAAGAACAAAGACATTCTTAAGAAGGGATGTATGATCTGCAGGGCCTGGTCACCCACCTGAACTTCCTCAGACCAGGTGGGACGATCGTAGTCTAGCCCAGGTTGTTGCTTAGCCCCTGAAGGCCTGGAGCCTGGTCGCCCCATCTTCACTTTAGGCTGGCCTTCACAGGTGTGCTAACCAAGCTGGGATGTGGCTTCCTCTTCTGCACTGATTGCTTGAGGGTCCAGCCCTGTCTGACTGCCTGTAATATTTCTACCTGAGTCATCTGTAATAGTAAGGGGTGGTATCTTGGACTTAATACCGTAAAGGGCTTTGGGGAATGGACTCTATCTGTGGACCTTATTTATTTAGTTTGTAATGTATGTGGTACAGGGTCTCACTGTGCAGCTCGGGGACTTGTAGTGACCCTCCTGTTTTCACCCTCCCCAGCGCTGGGATTACAGGAGCACCCCACCACACCTGGACTCAGGTCACCGACTCTGGGAACCCAGGGGCAGGGCTGGCGCGGCCTATAGTACCAGGGATCAAACCCTGGCTCCTGAGCCTGCTTAGGCAGACACTTAGTCTGCTGAGCTATCTCGCTGGCCCGTGGTCTCTATTTTTAGATAAATAAAAATACTAGTATTTTTATAAAAGTCTGAATTATATGAAAGACTTACCCAAAGGCATCCCCTCAACTTGGGGGGGGGGTCACATTCCTCCCTCTTTATCCTTTATTTACGCTTTGTTCCCATCTAACACATCAACTCAACTTGCCAGATTATGAATTTCCTAAAATTATTTAAGTGCGGGAAGGATTATGTGTTTATATTTGTCTTTTTATTGTTGGGTGGTGACCTTACTTTTCATCATATTTTCTGAGGCATAAAGAATACATTTTATTCTTTAAAATTTATTTAAAGAATAAAAAGAGCCACGGTGCCCTTGAGGTGCATGGGCCGAGCTGAGTCGCAGAAGGTGCGGTAGGTGCGGCTCCCGAGCCTTTGCTGCGGTCCAGAGGTGCTGTTTCAGTCAGGTGCAGCAGTGCGTACTGGGAGCTCCCAGATCCTGAGGCCGCTTGCTCTGAGCATCACAAGCATGGCTCAGGGAGGGCGCGCCCTCCAGACCCATTTCAAGCGTTTCTGTCGCCATGCGGGACACTTGCTGTGGACCCAGTCTCTGTGCGAACAGTAGCGTGTAAACCTGCCAACCTGCTGTTAATATAACTTAAAATGCACTTTAGGTGTTTCTTTCACTGGTTAAGTTTTTTTTTTTTTTTTTTTTTTTTTTTTGGTGGAACCGGGATTGAACTCAGGCCCTTGCGCTTGCCAGGGAAGCGCATATTCCACTGAGCCATCTCCCCAGCCCCACTGGTTAAGTTTTTTAATGATTATTCTTTAATGAGATGGTTGAAAGAATCCTTTTTTTTTTTTTTTTTTTTTTTAAGAATCCTTGGATCAGATATCAACATGGTGGAGGGCATTACTGTTGGGGCACTGTGGTGCGCCTCGTCAGAGCCCTCTGGGCCCTGGAGGCCTCTCCCGGTCCGGCGTGTCTGTAAGTCACAGGCAAACAGCAGCGCTAGAGGCCGGCCTGCTGCAGGGCCCTGGCCGCCCCGCCCTGGCTCCCCAGGATGGGAGCGTTTCCTGGGACAGCCTTGATGAAGGCTGCCATCTCCGTAGTCTGAGGCTTACAAGGCCAGAGTTTGTTGTGACTTTTGCCTGTTGTGTCTGCTAAATTGTGGTTTTTTTAATTATTTATTTTTATTCAACACAGCTGCTAAATTGTAATGAGAACTCTCTCTTCTCTCTCCCTAGCCAAACTGGCGAGGCGCAGCCAGGAGCGAGACAATCTCGGCATGTTGGTGTGGTCGCCCAATCAGAACCTGTCGGAGGCAAAACGTAAGTGGTGAACACCTTGTGCACACTTTGCTGTGCAGCAGCCAGAGTCCCCACATAGGCCACACTCTCTCACACTGTCATTTATAGTAATCGAAGTTTGCAGGTGTGTACTTCGTATCGGTGGCCTGTGCCTTGAAAGAGTCCTAGCCTGTGCTTTCATAAGCTGTTGCCCAGATGCCATGTATCACCTAGTACAGGAGTCTAGGAGAATGGCTCGAGCGAGGAAGGCTGCAGGTGCAGCCTGCGGGGACTTGACAGGCTGACAAAGACAAAGAGTGGGGCTCAAGTTTTAAGTTGAAGGATTACAAAGGTAAATATATTCTGGGTAATGGACTTTATTATGTGAGATTTGAACTTGCATGGAAGCAAAGCCTTTGAACTGGGTGTTTGACAGCGTCTGAGAATTTATTAGGCAAATGCTGTAACCCGAATTACTTATGGCTTTTTTTCAGGATAGGGCTTCTATAGCTGTTCATAGTGTTCATTGTATTTTCTGTTCCTGCTGCTTGCTCATGATGCCATGCAAGGTTGATTTTATCACTGCTGTATTATCCTAAGTAAGTCCTTGGCATTTTCAGAGTCCTTATTTCCTTCATCCACTTGAGAGTAGACCTAGCCTCGCTTTGCCAGTTTCTCAGCAGAGGCCCATGGGTGGAATGTACAGGGCTTGTTTGCTCTGAAATCACATGCAAGTTTTGGGGTGATTTTATTCTATGAGAAACATTGGATTCATAAAGAGATCTTTGACAACATGCAGGTTCAGTATCATTATTTTAAAGGTCATAATGTTTAGAAGTGCATCCTAATGTTCATAAGGAGTCTGGCATATGGTCATTAAAGACTGGGACTTTTAAGGTTTAATCAGCATTTCCCAGATTTTCTGTTTCCCTATTAAAACAGGTGTTGCTGGGCATGGTTGCACATGGTATAATCCCAGCACTTGCCCATAAAGCCTATAATCCCACCACTATGGAGGCTGAGACAGGAGGAGCACTGTGAGTTTAAGGTCAGTCTGAGCTGCACAGTGAGACCTGTCTAAAAAGACAGAAGACTCTGGGCGTGGGGGCGCACGCCTGTAATCCCAGCTCTGGGGATGCTGAAAACAGGAGGAGGATCACTATGAGTCTGAGCTGTGCAGTCACACCCTGTGCCAAATACATAAAAATGAAAAAAAGAAAAAAAAAGAAGGTCCAGGGATACAGCTCAGTGGCACAAGCACCTACCTGGCAAGCACAAGGACCTGCATTCAAGTCCCAGTACCTAATTAATTAATTCAACACGTAGATGTCAACAGTTTCTAGCACGGAACAGTGTGCGCGAGCACATGCAGTGTGCATGTTCCTGGTGAATATTTCGCACCTGTGTTAGCGTATGTAAGTTGGTAAGTGCTCATACATAAAGAACAACATTTCATTTTGACGCTGGGGGATCCCTTGTATTTTTGTACAGTGCCTTCCGTAGAGCATGAACAATTCAGCTACTCGTAGTAATGCTAAATTTAGCAGTAATGAAATCTTCTTTTTAGTATGATGTGATTTTTTTTTTCAAAATACCTTGGGACTGGGAGATAGCTCAGTGGCATAAGTACCTGTCTAACAAGTGTCAGGTCCTGAGTTCGATTGCCAGTACTGCAAGAAAAAATAAAGTTCAAAATACCTTAATCCAACCATTGTCATTCTGCTATTTTATGAGTTTATAAGAACGGCATACATAGCCTATCCTCCAGCACTTTGGGAAGCTGAGGCAGGAGGATCCCAAGTATGAGCCCAGTCTGGGGAACTTATTGTGCAGTGAGGTACTGTCTGAAAAAATAAAAAAGGCTTGTTGGGTGTGGTGGCACATCCCTGTAATCTCACCACTGGGGAGGTTGAGGCAAGAGGATCACTTTGAGTTTGAGGCCAGCCTGGACTACTTAGTAGGCTGAAGGCCAGCCTGAACTACATAGCAAGACCTCATCTCATAAAAACCCAAAACAGAATATAATAAAAAGGGCTGGGAATGTGGCTCAATTCAAAGGCCCTGGGATTAATCCCCAGTATCGCACTATATTGCTGTTCCTGATGCCCTTGCTCTGCTCAGGAAGGCCTTTGAGTATTTCCTGATGTTTGTTTTTTCTCCTTGCCTTCTCCTTAAGTGCTTGTGGTGACGAACAAAAACATTCTACACGTTTTTGAGCAGGTTCTCCTTTTCTTACAGAGAGCTAAAGATCAGCCACTTGGGGTTCGTAAAACCTTGCTTGTGGACTCTGCTGAATGAGTCTGCTTCCATCTGCACTTCTTGGTATCTCTGCTATCCTGTTCTCTGCTCCCTCTCTGTCTTGTTGCTTCCCGTGTCTGTCAGAGAGCTGGATTTGGGTTTCTCAGCATCTCTGTGCCCTCCTAGACGGGTTCTGTTTGGTAACTATGCCAGTGTCCAGTTGTGGTATCCAAATGTGGGTAGCAGGGGGCATTTGCCGAGAAGGTTGCCAAGCACAGCATGTTCTCCCTGGGCCGGCAGCCTGTAGTCT